AGAGATTCAGGATTGTGTTAGAGAATGGAGAAGTTGACCTTGTGATAAAAAAAAAAACGTAGACTTAATAAAGGAAAAAAATTCAAAATTGTTGGCAATTGTTTGGCTGATTGCATTAAGGAAGAAAGTAACCCCAATCTAGTTTAAAGTTTCTCTACGGTCAAGCTAGGAAATAGAGGTCCTTTATTTGCCTTTGTTCTTGAAACAAGGAAAAAATGAAGTCAATTGTAGCTGCTCATGCAAAAGTCCTTAATCATAAAAGCCAATATCATGGTTTAGGGATGTTGAGTCAAGAAAGGTTAACAGGTTGTGAAAGTTATTGTCACATTCTAAACTCAAGGTTTTAAGATATAACAAATGCTACATTCTCATGAAACGAATCCCATAAGCATGTAAGGATATAATATCATATTAAATTAAGCATAATATTTTTAAAATCTTTTCCAAATTTACACTTTACAAAACTTCAAGTCTCCAAATATAATAACAATATACAATTCTCTAAAAGCTACAAAGTTTTCATCTCACTAATATTTCTTTACAAGCTAAATTCGAACACTTATATCAAAACTTAAAAATATCAAAGGGCATGTGTTAATCCTTTTAATCAACGTTCTCACTAAACAAGTCTAATTCTCAAACATGTAAAGTTGTCAAAATTTATAAAATGATGAGAATTAAAAGAATTAATGCAAGTACTTAACAAGTAATTGACATCTTTTTAGTTAGATTAAGCATGTTCAAAACATTTAGGTCAAAATTACTGATACACATATATAGGATCAAAATAGAATTTTGGATAATCTCATTCAGAACCATATATTTCAAAACTTCATTTTCAAATAACAGAAGCCAATAAAATTTTGTTTTGAATAACAAAGCTAAGATTTTTTTGAAACTTTTGGATAATAAAACAAAATATAATTTCACACTGATTTTAAATTTTATTGATCTCCTATAACATGTTACAACCACACTTAACTCCTGTAGCATAGGTTAGCAATAAAACCATAATTAACCCTAGTGGTATATGTCAAAATCAAAACCACAATTAATTCTAGTGACATAGGTCAAAAGTATATCAAAAGCAACTATTTGATGCATTGAATAGATATCACAAATATTACTATTTTGTAATCGATGATGCAATTTAGAGATCGATATCTAATCACAAAATACATTTCGACATGACCAACATTTAACCTCCATTGGCAAGGTCAGAGCATAGCTATACTAGGAGAAAAAACAAAACATATTTTTAGATTACCTAATTTGACAAAATAATATATTCATTTTTCTGAAACACATCTCATGTACATCAAAAACACATCCGTTTCAGACTAAATATGTTATCTTTGTATTCAAAAAAAAGTATATGCATACATTGCATAAAAATCATATTCCAAAACCAAAATCGAGATTGTATTCCAAAGGCCAAAACAGAGATCATATTTATTTATATATATTAACATGCTAACATGATTAACAAATCATAAGATAAAATATCATATATTACGTGCAAATTTGCATTGATACTAATTTTTAGGGTGTGAAAATATCGAAGGAATATCAATCACTTGGTTTACCAAGTTCACTTTTAGGTAGCAAAATAGAAAATTCTTCCAGTTGCCTAATATTTTAAGAAAATATATATGAAAATTAAAACTAAACTTACAAATAAATCTGACAAGATAACTTTTCGTTGACCATCCTAAGCACTTAGGGTATGTAGCAACCTCCATTGCAATTGAGGAACATTTCCAATTAATAAGGCAATTTCTTTTTGTCATAATACGGTGAGTCCTAGAACTCAACAGTTTGACTTAAAAGGAGTTGCTATCAATCTTTTTTGTTTAAGTGCGATTGACCACCTAGGCGAATCTATTTTTTTATGATGTTTTTTTTACCTGTTGTTAATAAAATGAAAACGTTTCCTAAGTCTTCCAAACACTTTTGGCAAAAATTAAGAATAATCTACTTATGTCAAGATTATTTAAGAAATTATTTATTTCCTTGAAAAGACTCATTGTCAGATTAATTTGATATTTTATAAAAAAATATTTGAATTAAATCTTTTATTCTTTTTTTTATCATTTTGTATTACTTTTTTTTATTTGTCTTAAGATAAATGAAAACCCTTGATATTGGAAAATTTTTTAAATTATTCAATAGTACTTTTGGTATAATTTAAAATTCTCCTCACTTGGAAATTTTCAAGAAAATTATCACTTACAATTTTTTAAAAAAATTCCATCATTGGTTGATGTTTATTTACTTGCATAATTTAATTTGAATGCCTATGGTGGTTCAAAATGAATTTCATGATGCAATTAGTAAATTATTTACAATTTTATTTATTACACATTTATTTTATTTTGTACATGACTTTTTTATAATTATTTTGAAATACTCTTCTTTACAAAATAATTTTTAAGATTCCCCATTAATTTTGGTAAGACCCTATAACTATTTTTACTTAGAAAAATTTTAAAAAAATTGCCACTTGCAATGTTTTTGTTCGATTTATTCAACTAAGACTTTTAATTTTATCACTTTTCTTACTTCTAAATTATTGTGTCTTAAATAAATTCATAATTAAAAAAACATAATTAGAAATTAAATGAGTAACATAAAATGGGCTAAAAATATAAGTCAAAAGACCTATCCAATTCTTGTACTTTTTAATTTTGTTCAATTTAATCACTGTATTCAAAATCAAAGCAATTTAGTGATTTGATTTGGAGAATTGTGTCAATTTAATTACTCCCCGTAATGACATTTAATTTTACCATTAAAGGATGATGTCAGTGTTGACATCATCACTGACATATAACATTTTGATGATGTGGCATTGAGATGATGATGTGACATACTATGTGACACAGAGTGATGATGTGGCAATACCACATGGCATTATACGATGACATAGTAATGCTGATATGACATTGACATGTTAGTGCCACGTGACAGATCAAATTTTTTTTTTAAAAAAAATTTATCACGTTATGGGGACTAAATTAAACAAAAATATATAATACAAGGACTAAAGTGAACAAAATTTAGATGTTGAGAGACTAAATTGAAAAAAATTAAAAAATATAAATTTTTAAGTATATTATTGATATGCTTATTAATAAGCCAAATATTTAAGTGTAAAAGATTTATCATGTTAAAAAAAATATATAAATATTTTCTTATTTGATTATTTGATTCTAAAACATGTAAATTAATTTATCTTTTTTATAAAAATTAAGTTTAAATTCTCTTTTTATAAAAGAAATTCTAAAAAAAATTTATATCTGAAGTTAAATTTAGGTGAATAACTTGTATTACGTTAAATAAGATAATAAATGACTAAATAAATTTATTTAACTTAGTTTTAATTTGAGCTAAAGTCATATTCGCAAAATATGTTGATTTAGTTTTTCCTTTTAAAAAAATGAAAAACGGATATATGGAGTTAGCGATGATTATAAAAATAATTTTTTGTTCTAATTTGCTTAATTTGGACATGACAAACCTTCTATTACAACCATAGAATTTGAGCTCCACTCTTTGAATTATTTATTTATTTTTTTAATATTTAAAGTTATATTTTTTAAGTTGAAATTTTCTAGATTAAAAACTACATTTATAGTTGATGAAGATAAATATAACTATAAATATTTGTACCATTTTATTTTATTAATAATTTTTTTGTGGATTCAACTTAATAATTTAAATTTAAATTTAGCATAATTTGATTGTGGTATTTGAATTTAAATAAAATCGTTCTATAAGAAATTTTGAGTAAATTTAAATAAAAGATAAATTAGGTAAGAGTTGAATAATTTCAAAAGAATGTGTACTTGTAAATTGTGAAAGTTTTAACTAAATCAACATATTTTGTTAATTTGAGTAAATTTAAATAAAAGGTAAATTGGGTAAGAGTTGAATAATTTTAAAAGAATTTGTATTTGTAAATTGTGAAAGTTGTAATTAAATTAATATATTTAGTCATTTTATATTATTTTATTTTAATATAATGTAATTTATTAATCTAAATTTGACTTTAGATATGAAATTTTTTCAAAATCTTTTTTATAGAAGGAGAATTTAAACTTATTTTCATAAAAAAAGATAAATTACTTTACATATTCTAGAATTAAATAATCAAGTAAAAAAAATTTATATATATTTTTTAACACCATAAATTTTTTACATTTAAATATTTAATTTATTAATAAGCATATCAATAATTTACTTAAAGATCTATATTTTTTAAATATTTTATTTAATTTAATCCCTTAATATCTCAATTTTATTCAATTTAGTCCATGTATTATATATTTTTGTTTAATTTAGTCCTTATAACGTGGTAGAATTTTTTGTTTTAAAAATTTTCTAATCTACCATGTGACACTGACATGTTATCATGTCAGTGCCATGTCAACACTATCATGTCATCATACAGTGCCAAGTGGTAATGCCATGTCACCACTTAATGCCGCTTGGTATGCCACAACATCTCAAAAAGCCACATCCTCAAAATGTAACACGTCAGTAATGACGTTATTGGTGACGTCATCTTTTAATGATAAAATTAGATATCGTTAGGAAAAAGGACTAAATTGATATAATTTTTAAAATAAAAAAATTAAATTACTTTAATTTTAAATAAATAAACTAAATTTAATAAAATTAAAAAGTACAGTTTGGTCGTTTGACCAAAAAATATATGAGTCAAGTTGGGCTTTGAATCCAAATTTCATGGGCTAGGAAGCATTGGACCTGACGGACTTGAGTCAGTTCAAGTCTGACTCCTGTTTTATTTTTATTTTTTCCACTCAAAAGAGAAGATATACCTAATTACCTATTTATGAGTCTAATATTTGTATTTACCTTTTTAAATCCATAACCACTGGCTCTTGTGATCAAATTGCACTGTTTCTTTGTAAAAGATGGAAAAGGACGTGCTACCCTCCTTTTGTGAAAAGAAGGAAAAAAAAGGCTGTTGTCCAAATAATGTTATTGTCTGTTCCTTCTGTTTTCTTTCGTCGGTAGTGCTGCTTCATATCTGGCTATCGTGTCACTTCTGCATAATGCAGACTGCACACCACTACTCAATTTTCAAACACTAACAAGCAAAAAGATGGAAAATGGCTCAAAGCAATGGCGTTTCCAAGGAAGCAAAGGGCTGAACCCGGCGTCAGCAATCAGTCTACGAGCTGTTCTGGAACTGGTAATTGGAAATCTCAGAAAAGATGATCCGAGACCCATCATTCCCCTTGGCAATGGCGATCCCTCACAATTTCCATGCTTTAGGACTTCCACAATAGCGGAAGATGCCATAGTTGATGCCCTCCATTCAGCCAAGTATAATGGTTATGCACCTCCTCTTGGAGTTCCATCTGCCAGAAGGTAAATATACTCGTATAATGGTTATGCACCTTCTATTTATTCTTTGAAATTATATACAGCTAGTATGTCTTCTGACACAATCTGTAACGAATTCCTCACTCAATTTTAAGATTATAACAGGGCTATTGCAGATTATCTCAATCTTGACCTGCCATACAAGTTATCTCCGGATGATATTTATCTTGCAAGTGGATGTGTACAAGCAATTGAAGTTGCATTGGCAGCCATTGCCCGCCCTAGTACCAACATTTTACTCCCAAGACCAGGCTTCACCTTCTATGAATCTCGTGCTGCACATAACCATCTTCAAGTCCGTCATTTTAATCTTCTTCCTGATAAGGGTTGGGAGGTTGACCTTGATGCCGTTGAAGCTCTTGCGGATGAGAAGACTGTTGCCATGGTTATTATAAACCCTGGCAATCCTTGTGGAACTGTCTACAGTTATGAACATTTGAAAAGGGTAAGGATCTAAAGTCTAAAAGCTTTTGTTTCATTATCTTTTCCCTGATGTTTATTGTTTAGAGTTTTTTTCAGAATTAGTGGTTCAATACTTTTTGATGTTGACAATAGGAATTGTTGATATCTTGATTGTAAGGTTGCAGAGACAGCAAGAAAGCTTGGAATTCTGGTAATTGCTGATGAAGTTTATGGTCATCTTACATTTGGGAGCACTCCCTTTGCTCCAATGGCAGTGTTTGGATCAATTGTGCCAGTCCTCACTCTTGGGTCTATATCAAAGAGATGGATCGTTCCTGGCTGGCGACTTGGTTGGCTTGTGACTAGTGATCCTAAGGGCATCCTTCGAAAGTCAGGGGTGAGCCATTCTTTTTTTTTTTTTTTGCCTTTTTCTGAATTCTGACCATCTCTCTGGCTTGACAGTTGAAATATATCTTTTAATTGTAATTTCTTTCATAATTCAAGTATCTAAACAGCAAACTTATAGAATAATGCATGGTTCTTTTTGCACTATTTTCAGATTGTGGACTCAATTACAGACTATCTCAATATCACTACTAATCCTGCAACCTTCATTCAGGTTTGTGATTCAAAATAGCTCTGTCTGTGAAAAAGATATTACCTTTAAAAGAGCTAGAACAAATTTAAGTCAATTCAATGAAGTTGTCGTACTAAAGAGTCCTTTGTCTAAATGCTAATCACTTGGTGTGGCAAATGCAAGTGCACTTTTATCTGCTTGACTGTTTATCTTGGAACGGATCTTTTAAGTTTGACATTGAACATAAGGCTTTATCATTGTCATTCTTAATTCTCTTTCTTTTCCTCTTGAATATATATAATTTTGTTTTATGCTTTAGGGAGCAGTTCCCCACATCTTGGAGAATACAAAGGATGATTTCTTTTCGAAAATCATTGTTACCCTAAGAGAGGCTGCAGAGGTATGCTATAATGGAATTAAGGAGGTACCTTGCCTAAGTTGTGCAAAGAAACCAGAAGGGTCCATGTTTGTAATGGTGAGGCTATCAATCTTCTTTATATTTTGTGTGCAGAACATGAAGAATATGTTACTAGCTGTTAATATATGAAAAATAAAATATCTCAAAAGAATAAAATTAGAAAACCCTACTTTTCATTAATAAGATAAAGACATATGTATACAAGGTTAATTTTGGGTGCAAGCAAAGTAAATATCATAAAAGAAAATATTCTAATCTTTAACTTCTTTGGAGTACAAGTAAAGTAAAAGTTACTAAAAAAAGATTACATAGAAAATAATCCTTATAATTGTGTGTATGAGAATGGAAATAAAAGATCCTCCAATACTCCCCCTAAGTTGGAGCATGAGGGGTAGAAATGCCCAACTTGACTAACAATTTATGGAACTAATCATACCCGAGTGCTTTAGTGAATATATCTGCCAATTGGTTTTGTGAAGAAATAGGCCGAGTAACAATAGTTTGTGATTGAATGTGCTGTCGGATGAAATGGCAATCCATTTCTATGTGCTTTGTTCGTTCGTGGACGACCAGATTTGCTGCGATGTGAATAGCAGCTTGGTTGTCACGAAACAAGGGAACCAATACAGTGTGTGTCACTCCAAGATCTCGTAAGAGCCGTAATAGCCAAACAATCTCACTAGCAGTGGTGGCCATGGCTCGATATTCAACCTTAGTAAAAGAACAAAAAATCACTGTTTGTTTCTTAGATTGCCATGATATGGGAGAAGACCCAAGAAAGATAATATAGCTAGCAGTGGAATTACGTGTCATTAGACATCCTACCCATTCTGCATCACAATATGCTTGCAAAGACAATGAACCATCTAAAAGAAGTAAGATACCTTGTCTTGAGGTTCCTTTGAGATAATGTAACACCCTATAAACAGCATCAAGATGTGGTTGTCGTGAGGCATACATAATTGGATAAGAATATGCACTACATAGGTAACATCTAGACGAGTGATGGTGAGATAAAGTAAACGACCTACTAGTCAATGATATTGCCCGAGATCAACACAGATCTCACCAAAGTCGAGTGAAGCCTTGTGCTATTGCTTTATGGGAAAGTTGGTTGGCTTGTAGCTTGTGAGACCTCTCTTGGATAAGATATTAAGTACATACTTGCATTGGCTTAATGCAATACCTATTGGAGAATGTACCACTTCAATTCCAAGAAAGTACTTAAGTTGGCCAAGATTCTTAATGTGAAATTTTGCATCCAAATAATGTTTTAGCTTATAAATGTGATCAAAATCTGTTTCTATGATGATAACATCATCAACATATATGAGAACTGCAATAAAAGATCCTTCACTACGAGAGAAGATGACCAAAGAGTGATCTGTGTTTGATTGTTGAAAATCGATGGCAAGAAGAGAAGTGGTAAATTTGTGATACTAATTTTGAGATGCTTGACAAAGTTCATATATAGATTTTTGTAAACGACAAACCCATTACTCCCCTTGTTTAGCAAACCCTTGTAAAATCTTCATATACACTTCTTCTTCCAAGTTGCCATGTAAAAAGGCATTGTTCACGTCTAGTTGATGTAATTCCCAATGCTTAATCGAAGCAAGTGCTAGGAAACAACATACGGTGACTAATTTGGCAACGAGAGAAAATGTCTCATGAAAATCAACATCCTCAATTTGAGTGTAACTTTTAGCAACAAGACGTGCCTTGTAGTGCTTAATACTTCTTTTGGTTGATATTTAACTTTGTAAACCCATTTTGAATTGATAAATCATTTACTAGGGAGTAAAGGTTGCAAAGTCCAAGTATTATTTGCTTCCAAAACAGAAATTTCCTTTGTCATGGTTCCTTTTAATGCGCATGTTTGACTACTTAAAAAATGATTTTGACTCATCAGTGGATGAGATGGCTGCTAAAAAGGTAGTGTGATTGGGAGAAAATTTAGAATAAAAAATAAATTGTGAAAGAGGACGTACTGTTGAGTTGGTCGAAGGAATAGATGAAAGCAGCGTGATACTTGGAAGAGTGAGAGAGGGGGGTAAATCATAATTATAACCAGACAAAGAGCATGAAACTTGCTACTTGTCGAAAATAATGAAAGTTTCTAAAATAATATTTTCTAACTCATTGACCAAGCTAGAATCAATTGGGTTAGATGAGGAGGCTACTGTGGTTGACAACTCGGATCTGACTGACTCAAACTCAACACTAACAGGTGAAAAGGATTCATGTGTATCGGTGAAGGAAGTGGACCCAATCATAGTAGACCCATGTGTAACTGTTGGCGATGTGGGTTTGTCTATTACAAGTGTATTGTTATGAGACATAGAGCCTATTAGACTAGTAAATGGGTTGATGCCTGTAGATGACTCATTAAGCCCAAGTTCAGTGACATTGGGCACCACATGGCTGAATGAATTATCCAATGTGGTAGTTTGACCCAAATTAAGTGGCTATACAATTTTTGTTGCTAAGGAATTTGCAAATGGAAATATTTCTTCCAAAAAATGAACATTTCGCAAAACATAAATCTTTTTACTTTTAAGATCATAAATTCTGTATCTCTTTTGCCCATTAGGATACCTAGCAAAAACACCCAGTTTAACATATGGGGCAAACTTGTCACGTGTTTTTTTATTTTTATGCCTATAACAAAGACATCCAAAGCTTTTCAAATGATCATATGTTAGACTCTTTTCTAGTAAAACCTCATATAGAGTTTTATTTTGTAAAACAAAGAGCGGCATACAGTTGATCAAGTATGCGAAAGTAAGAACACAGTCACCCTAAAATGAAATAGGAAAATGTGTTTGAAATCGCAATGTTCGTGCAACTTTTAAAAGATGCCTATGCTTTCGCTCAACAATTCCATTTTATTGTGGTGTGTCTGCACAGCTAGATTGACGTTCCATCCCTTGATCATAATAATGAGTCATTAAATCATCATGAGTAAACTTTAAGCCATTGTCTGTCCATAGAATTTTAACTCGCAATTTAAATTATGTATAAACTCAATTGAAAAATTGTAATTAGGTACACTTTGGTTTCTGACTTGTATTTCATGAAGAAGACCCATGTTGCTCGACTGAAATTATCCATTATAGTTAGGAAATAGTGAGATCCAGAGAATGATTTTGTTTTGTACGGGCCCCAAATATCACAATGTACTAAGTCAAAAGCATGCATATTTTTATTTGTATTGATGGGAAAAGATAATCACCATTGTTTTGCCTTACAACAAACATCACAAAATAAAGGCTTATTGCAATCAAAAGAAATAGATAAAATAGGAACTAAAGGAATACGATTTACTAGTAATGCCTTAGGCATCGATGCCATAAGCTTGCATTAATGGAATTGTTGGTTATCAATGCCTTCTCCCCTCTCATCGGCTCCAAGTAATAAAGACCATTCTATTCTCTACCCACTTTAATCGGCTTCCTCGAGGGTAAGTCTTGAATTACAAAAAAATCTGACTAAAAAGTTACTGTACAATGTAAATCACGTGTCAATTTACTAATAGACAATACATTAAGGTAAGAATCAAGAACCCAAGGACTCACTCAAGGATTAATCTTTTTTTAAAAGCGACTTGGCCCAATGCATGAATCTCTATTGTTTCACCATTAGGGATTTGTATTAGTGGTATAGTGGGTTGATTTCACATTTGATAAAAGGGTTAAATTATGGGTTATATGATTTGTGGCTCTTGTATCAACGACCCATTCATTGTTTTTCTTACCAAAAAAACTAGAGGTTGCCATATTTGCGAATGGGTTACATGTTGATATTCCATGATTACCTAGTAGAGCTAGTAACTATTGATGCTAAGCAGAAGTTAAACCTGGGATTGGCTATCCAACTTCATCCACGGTGACGGCAAAAGCAACTTTAGAAGACATGTTTGTTGCAGCGCCGCCATCCCATTGATTTCCATGGGCACGCGATTAATCACCACTAATTTGTTACCTCTCTTCTTTCCAAATTTGTGCCAATTTGATGGATAACCAATCACCTTGTAACAATTCTCTTTATTATGGTTTTACCTCCCATAGTGGATGCATGATGGAAATTGACCATGGCTCCCATCATCGTTCTTCTTTTGTTGTAATTCATTTTCCTTAGTTAACAAGGTAGTAGCTTCAAGGATGGGTGCATGAGTTGTAGTGACTGAACGTTGCTTCTCTTCTTGTGTTACAATGGCGTAAGCTCTTTCAAGATTTGGTAATGGATCAACACTCAATATTTGTGATCGTATAGTTGAATATTCTTCATCAAGAAATCAAAAACCTTTTCTTCTTCATGCGTGGATTGCATTCTTTTCTCCCCACCATAGGTACATCCACATTTACATGATGGGACAGCATTGAGACCTTGTAACTCACCCCAAATGGTTTTTAATTTACTATAATAACACAAGATCAAAGATTTCTCTTATTGTAAAAAGGTTATGGTGCGCTTCAACTCGTAGACTCTCGAGGTTACTCTTTGAATAAATCTTTCTTCAAATCTTTCCATATTTCTCTCATAGTTTCAACATGAGTAGCACTGTCTTAAAGCTTTTTAGCAAGTGCATTTGTAAGCCGTGAAAGAACTACTGCATTAAACTATATCCATGACTGTAAATTCAAGGAATCAACATTTTATTGTTTATCGTTCCATCTACAAAACTTGCTTTGTTTTTGGAATAAAGTGCATTCATAAAGCTACGTCTTCATGTAAAATAATTATCTTCACTTTCAAGAAGAGGGTGCGTCACAAAAATTAGACTGTGATGATCAGATGAATGCAAGTAGTATGGAGAAGTGGTATCAATGGCTTTGCTTTGATTAGCACTCGTATTTGCCACCAATTCTTCACTACTCTTGTCTTTGTCATTGTTTGCATCATCTCCAACCATTAAAAAAATCAAAGTTTCGTAATCTACTCTGATATCATGAAAAATAAAATATCTCAAATGAATAGAATCAGAAAACCCTACTTTTCATTAAGAAGATGAAGACATATATATAAGGTTTACTTGGAGTGAAAGCAAAGTAAATATCCTAAAAGAAAGTATTCTGATTTTAAATTTTTTTGGAGTACAAGTAAAGTAAAAGTTAATAAAGAAAGATTACATAGAAGATAATCCCTATTATTGTGTGTATGAGAATGGAAATAAAAGATCTTCCAATAACATATGTTGCAGGTGAAGCTGAACATTTCCCTGTTGGAAGACATTAACGATGACATGGATTTTTGCAAGAAGCTAGCTAAAGAGGAGTCAGTCATTATTGTCCCAGCTGGTAAGATATGAAAAATGCCTCAACTAGTTTCTTGAACAAGAGTTTATGTTTCTAATTACATTTATATATGTAGAGTAATAGTGTAAATTGAGGCTGTAATTGAATTGAGTGATCATGTTCTTGTGCTTGCTTGCTGTGTCATCTTTTGACACCAAATTATACAGGGATAGCTTTTGGAATGAAGAATTGGATTCGCATAACTTTTGCTTGTGAAATCTCAACTCTTGAAGAAGGGCTTGGAAGGATAAAAGCCTTTTACCAAAGGCATGCTAAGAAACAATAAAATTTATTTGGAGTCAAAGAGATCGATGGAATGTCACATGAAATAACATGCATAGTGTATTTCATACTTCATTCAGATCGTTCCACTAGCTAGGTTTCCTTGAATATTACTACTAAATTATATGTTCCCTATGCTAGTATTTGGGATCCATGATGAGGATCTTATTACTATGTTCATGCCATCATTTTTGTGATTTTCTTTTCTCCAATGTATCACAGCTCTTCATGTTTGATACCCTTTTGTTCTATTAATATGAACTCTTTTTAGTCAAAGTTTTTCAACTTTGAAATATATGATTAAATTAAATTTTAAAAATGGTATATTTGAAAAGGACTTTATTCATAGTTTTGAAAGAATAGTTCTTCCAAATAGAATTAATAATGATAAATGGAAAAAAGCAGTCGAATTTGAAGAATTTTGATACAAAAAGTTAAATTTAAATATTAATTATGAAAAAATCAAACTACCATTTAGTATGAAGTATTAAAATAACCATGTTTTAAAAGTTAATAGATTAATAAATTAATTAGTAATTTTATAAAAGTAAGGATAGCGGAAGCCATGGTAGCAGGCAATTTCATATGTTGCAACCAATTAGGATTGCTGAATACCTTTGCTGTCTTGGGATTAGTATTCTGCCTATGATTTTATAAGTAGTTAAAAGGTGTTCTGATTTTTTTCGAATTTGAGGAAAATGAATCATATTTTAATTATTAATTAATGAGTTAAATGCTCATATACAAAAGTATGTTAATTTTCACTGCAACTAATTCAGTCCAATTAATGAAATGAAACCTGTTATTATACGAAACCTCTAAGGATAACTTATTTGGACCAATTGTTACAACTTGAAACATCTAATCACAGCAGAATACTTTCACATAGCAGCTTGTCATTCTCAAAAAAAAAAATTAATAATAATAACTATTTGGAAATGAATAACTTGCTATTTATCTGTTCAGACTCTGCACGCACTCACCATGCACTTTGCTTTCTATTCATTCTCCGCACTCTCCGCCTCTTCCTTCTCCACATTCCAACTCTCGAAAGCCTTTTAACGAACCCCACCCTCGACCGAACTTGCTTCATACTGGGAGTTGGGTTATTTAGAAATGGAGAATGGATTAAAGAAATCGGTTTTTAAAGGAAACAAGGCACTGGAAGCAGCGGATGCCATCTCCATTCGAGGGGTTCTCAACATGTTAAATGATAATCTAAGTGGAGATGATAACAAGCCTTCCATCCCTCTCGGCCACGGTGATCCCTCCGTGTTTCCGTGTTTTCGAACCACTGCTATAGCGGAAGATGCCATTGTTGACGCTGTCCGATCAGCTGAGTTCAACTGCTATTCTCCACCCATCGGTATTCTTCCAGCAAGGCGGTATATCACTCTTAACTATAAAAACTTTGACTGCACCATCTCTTAGATACCAATTTTTTTGTTTTTTCTTTCCCGATAACTACCTATTTGGTTCATTGTGAGAGATGGAGTTATTGTACATGGGATTTGATACTGACATAGCGACATGAGTGGTTCTCCAAGGAGATGAGGAGTAGTTAGTAGTTTTTCTGCCAGTTTTCCTTGCATAGAGGCATAAAGTTTTTACTGACTATGGCGAATGACTTTTCTTTCAAATTTTGAAGGTGTAGATGCCAATATTTCTGCGGTTTCATTGCTAGAAACTATGTTAACGTTATGGAAATATACATGTGGCTTTCAGACCTCAGCAAGCGATTGGGGGGAATAAGAAATTGCTTTTACTGAGCCTTTCTTGCCATTGTAGAAGAAATTAAAATCCTTGCAAGAATGTTTTAGGGTTGTTTCCTTGGTCCTTCCCAAAGGTAGATCAAGGGTAAGAGATTTGCAACAGGGCAATTAGAAGTCAACATCATCAGAAGCATCAACATCTTTCGTTTTTGAATGATTAATTCACTTTGAAGAGTAACACTTTGAGTTGTCTTTCCCTTTGAAAGGTGGAATCTTGGGGAAAAAGAAAACGATACTTTATTAAAAGGAAAAAGAAAAAAAAAAAAGAAAGACAAACACCTGCATTTTTTATTTGAAATGCTCTGCTCCAATAGCAATCAAATTACTAACAAGCATATTGTTTATGAACAGCATATAACTCTTTTGTGTGTTTTTTTTTTTCATTTTTCATCAGTCAAAGGTGGACTTTTGTAGCTGCGGCCGCCCACCTTGTGCATTGGTCACATCACATCCATTGTTTAGTGTATTTTTGAACTATTGTTTCATTTTCATATCTCTCTTCATTTTCTTTTCAAGAGTTCCAATTATCATCTGTTTAGGAATTGTGTTCTGCGTGAGGCCTTTGTTTCGTGGAGGGATGCGATTCAGCAGTGGCATTGCTTGTTTAGTTCAACCTTTATATCTTCACTCTATATTTCAAGAGTTTATTCAGTCATTGTTTGAGATGACTGTATACAATTATGTTGGCATGAAACTGTTGTTCAGTGACAGAAAGTGTGCAGCAAAAACATTTAAAGTGGACAACATTTTGTCCATTCCTTCTTAATCGAAAAACGGAAAGTAGGATAGCAAGAAGAAACTAATTTACTTGTTCTGCTTTCCCCTCTTAATTTGAAAGACAACCCTGTCATAATATCATACCATTAATTAATTCAATGATAATTGTACTTCCATTTTGTCATGACAGGGCTATAGCTGCATATCTGTCTCAAGATATTTCATACCAATTATCTCCGGATGATGTTTATCTCACAGTTGGTTGCAATAACTCAATTGAGGTCATAATTTCTGTCCTTGCTAGTCCTAGTGCGAATATTCTTCTTCCCAGGCCAGGGTACCCAATGTATGAATCTCGTGCTGCTTTTAGCAACCTTGAAGTACGGCATTTTGATCTTGTTCCAGAGAAAGGGTGGCAAGTTGATCTTGATTCTGTTGAAGCTCTTGCAGATGAGAACACGGTAGCCATGGTTATTGTTAACCCTGGCAATCCTTGTGGAAGTGTCTTTACCTATCAACACTTGAAAAAGGTAGCCTTTAGCCTAATTTAAAAAATACATTTTTGGGCTTAAGTAGGCCACAATATAACATTTCTTTGCCAGCATTGCTTTTCCAATTACAGTTCTGTTTTGTTAACATGTCTCCAAGCTGTTCAGATATAATCAAAGTCCTTACTCTGAAAATGAATAATAAGATTTTTGGCCATCATAGAATATAAAGGTGGACCAAACAACATATTAGAATCTAGAATTGCTAATAATTTATTTGTTTGGTGGTGCTTAGGTTGCTGAAACAGCAAAAAAGCTTGGAATATTTGTCATTGCTGATGAGGTTTATGACCATCTAACTTTTGGGAGCAACCCATTTGTACCTATGGGGAAGTTTGGATCTATTGTGCCTGTTCTTACACTCGGGTCTATATCAAAGAGATGGATTGTTCCTGGTTGGCGTCTTGGTTGGATAGTGACATGTGATCCAACTGGCAGTCTTAAGAAATCTCGGGTATGTATTGAATCTCTCTGCTTTGGTATAATTAATATTGCTAAATTATGAAATTCTTATTTCCCCTGTAAGGTAATACCTTTTTTTTTCTTTTGATAAGCTTTTAAGGTAATACTAATTTATATTACAGCTCAGCTTACCTGTAACTTTTGCTTAATTTCTCGAACACCACATTATTCATCGAAAGAATAGAATAAGGGAAGGAAAGAGAGTTCATGCCTTACTAACATGCATGAACATGAACATGAAGATGCTGAAAAAATCAACTTGATTTTGATGCATCCTAGACTTAGTTACCTGTCAACTGCTGGATCCTGATCTTTCCTTCCTACTTAGCAACGGGAAGACCTATATCTCCTTTATGTTAAAAAGTTTCTTAGATTTCACGATAAGTTCGCTGAAATTTATTGTAGTAAATCTTTATGGAATGGTGCTGTGGCCTGAACTTAATAGCTGCCGTCTTTAATTGTACCAATTCACTGATTGACAAATAAAACTAGAATAGAACATCACAGTGGATTGTGATTCTTTAAGATAACTTTTTCCCTGTTCATAAATACATTTTACTCTTGCAATACATGTCCTTTCGAGGTGACTTGCCCACTTTTACATCGTACCGGCCATCTTCTGAAAACTGAATTGCGCATTTGTTGTCTTTTAATATTAGATTGCAGAAAGCATTAGGAGATATCTCAACATCTCTGCTGACCCACCGACACTCATCCAGGTACGTCACTAATGGAAATGTTATGAAAATCAGAATAATAAAATAGCTTTTCTTCTCTCTTTTGTTTTATGCTTCACAAGAAATATGTGTCCTTTTAATGCGCTTGCCTGTCTGACTGTAGGCTGAGCAGTACTCTAATGGCTGCAAGTTTAGTATGAATAAAGCGTTCCTGTTAAAGTAACGTATCCATCATTCTATAAAACATAAATTTTGCTTAATACTCTTGGCTTTATCTGCACACTGGTGTTGTTCACTGTTTGAATTCCTTTCCCGATGATTTTATAGTTCAATAATATGGTGATGTTTTAGGGGGCAATTCCTCAAATACTTGAAAAAACAAAGGATGATTTCTTTGTCAAAATCATTAAAATCTGTAGCCAAGCTGCAGACATATGTTATGACAGACTTAAGGAGATTCCCTGCATAACTTGTCCACACAAACCGGAGGGTTCAATGTTTGTAATGGTAAGGACATGGAACTAACGAGATCTGTGATATTTTTAGTTTTCTTTAAGAATCAACATGGATAATCTTAGTGATAACTTTTCATTACAGGTAAAACTAAACGTGTCACTACTTGAAGACATTGATGATGATATCGATTTCTGTCTCAAGTTGGCTAGAGAGGAATCTGTGATTGTTCTTCCAGGTGAATGGCCATGTTAAATTCATAATGTATCAATCTAAACTGGTGAAAGAAAAAACACAATTATGTACTGGATTGCTGGTTGACCTGTGATAGCTTGCTCAACTTCTCATTCATGATGGCAATAATCCTTGCAGGGGTTGCAGTTGGGCTCAAAAATTGGCTGCGCGTAACATTTGCTGTTGAACCATCCACTCTTGAGGAAGGTCTTGGAAGGATCAAAACCTTCTACAATAGGCACATGAAACAGCAATAAATTTGCTTATAATCCACACCATAGTAATGACTGATGGTGATCAACAACTACGTGTTGGATCTCACACTTCAGTTTATATAGCCACTAATATATATGTGTTTGTTTTCCTAGGGGAAAACTTCACTTTCATTGTTCAGGAATAAAAGCGTTTGATTTCTGCTATTATTAAGTCATAAAGACACAAGATTGGACTTTGGTGATCTATACCTCCTTATCAGATTCCTTTTTCTGCAGTATTATTCATATGCTTATTCACCCAGCACTTTATTTCTAGTTTCACATGCCATCATCTTATTTTAGTGAAAAACTTAGTTACTAACCAGCGAACAGAGCTAATCAAAAAGGAAAAAAAAACAAAGAACATATATATTTTACTGCCATGTATACCTCTCCCTCCCCTGTCTCTGTGTTGCTGCTATCTGTTAAATTTGGAAGATAAACTCAGCAAACATCTAGCTGTTTTCGTTTCCTCTCCATTCCAGTTTCGACCAGCCCCCTCTACTAAGATTAAAAACGAAGTGAGACCTGAAGAACAAGTTAAAAAAATGGGGTTCCCAAAAGACCATGGGGCTCAAGACTGCGTCATCACCAACAAAGCATCAGAAGTGTTGTGAACTTGCTAAGGCAAAATCTTGATGAAAGAGATCATCGCCCCGTCATTTTTCTGGGCTCTGGTCTGGGGATCCCTCTTCATATCCATGCTTTCAGACTGCTTCTATTGCTGGAGATGCCATTGTTGATACCATTAAATTAAAGAAGCTCAATGGTTATGCCCTAAGAGCAGGTATTCTTCTGGCAAGCTACAATAAAAAAATCTAAAAATTAAATCTACTTTTTTCTTTTTCTGTAATTGTTACTTTAGTTTTTTATCTTCTTCTTCTTTTTCAAAAAAAAAAAAAAACTCATGAAACAAATAAACTTACTAACCAATAAGCAAGTGGCATGGGGCCAGACCCCATTATGAGCCATTGAGCCCTCATAGAAAATAACATACAAGAGTTTGAGAAATAAAATATTTGAACACCAGGATATATGGTCAATAACTCCAAATAAGTGATCTTTTCCAAGTTTCAGTGTACAAACAGGTCTTTTTGAAAGAGTAAAATATAGTGCAAATAATCATTAACAATTCTCGGCCAACAAGGATATCAAGTCATCAAAGTATTTTGTAAGCACAACAATAATCCATCGGGCAAATAAATATATCCTACTTTGACTTCCAATCTTTTAAAGTGTTTCTTGTTGACTACGTGTCTTTTGGGGATTAGTTGAAAGAATTAAGATCAGAGGAAAATGAAAAAAAAAAATTCCATGCTTCTTTTCACTAATCTTGGAGGATAAGTTTTATCATTCACCTTCTAAATTTACATTTCAATCTTCAAATGAAGTAAGAAAAGTATCAAGTTTTTCAAAATTTTCTTTTCTGTTGATTTTCTTCAAGTATTTTGTCAACATAAAAGAATTAAGATCTGTCAAAGGATTTTGGGACTATAAATGCATATAGTTCATGCATATAAATCAATAGTTTTTAATCTGATATTTCTATTTTCTATGCAACACTAAATTGCACCATTAAATACTCTTTTTGGGATCAAAATTTTTGAGTTTTTGTTAATTTAGGGTTAAACGTTTTAATTGAAATAATTAAAGATAAAATATTTTTTGTTTCTCATAATTAAGGGTTAAAATAAAACGTGTCTGACGCGTGTAAGACACATGAATGACATGGACAATGACTTAGATTTTTTCCTCTGACATAGTAGTTGAATCGGATTTTTGGCACACGACGTTGTTTGTCCATGCAAAAACGACTTTGTTTTCTCCTATTTGATTACTCCTACTAGTTAAAATTTCTCACTATTTCGTTCTTTCACTATTTTAGTTTTCTCATCATTGACCCAAATTACCCACACTTTGCCTCCTATCCTCTCCAATCCACCTCTCATATTCAATCATTTTCCATCTCCATTGTCTCACCGTCCAGTTGGGTATTTGTCGCTGTTAACTTATCAGGCATCACCTGTTTGGCGGTTTTCGTCATTGTTTGCTAAACCAGAAATAGTTAAATAGTTTTTTCAAAAAGTCATTTCTGTTAAGTTAAAATAGTTCAAATTATGGTGTGGCGTGTAACAACTTTTTCATCATAATGTATAACAATTAAAATTTTCAATACGATGTGTAACAACTAAATTTTCAATATGACATATAACAACTATATTTTTTAACATAGCGTGTAACAATTAAATCTTCAATATGACATGTAATAACTAAATCTTCAACATGACGTATAACAATTGCATTTTTCAATGTGACGTGTAACAACTAAATTTTCAACTTGACGTATAATAACTACATTTTCAACATGATGTGTAATAATTATATTTTTGAACATGACGTATAATACTCCATTTTTTTGAAACTGTCATGTCATTAGGTCACGTAATTTTTTGTTTTATGTGATATACGTTCCATCTACCTGTCAACTTAGCTCTTAATTTTTTTTTTTCTGAAAGATAACTTAGCCCTTAATTATAAAGAATCGAAAACGTTTGGCTCTTCATTGTTACAATTGAAACGTTTAGTCTTTGATAAAAAAAAGTAGCTAAATATTTAACTCCATTTTAAGCTAAATTGTATAAATTGTCAAGAACCTTTTTGGTCGATCCACTTCATTTTTTCAATTGTTAAAATTTTTTTTGAATGCATTAGAATTTGATTCTTCAGTTTTGTCAAACTTGCAGAATTCTTTCTATCCTTTGACTACATGTAAAATTTTTTCTTCTTTTCTTTGAGGAATAAATGTCTTTCATCTTACCAGATGTGGTGAAGCAACAAACATAGTAATGGGGTAAATGATGGGGCTATCTCCTTTGCACATTAAAAGACAAAAGAAGGGTACTTATCTTAACTACCAACCATATAAAGGGTTGATATTCAGATAGTTTTGGATGTTTTTAGACAAAGTCCCTGTAGAAAAAAAAAAGGCATTTGCAGAAATAAGGAAAAGATCAAAAGAAAAAGAATGGCTTGGAAAAGGGTACGTATTAGAAACTCAACTTTTCTCCATAGTAAACTAGTTCGACCTTGGCACGAACTATGTTCACATAAGTTAATTTAGCATCATTTACTTCACAAATTCCAAGTGCACGGCTTCTTGTTTCACTTCTAGTAACAAAAACAGTGCAAGGAAATTTTAAGAGGAACATGAACAAGTAGAAAGAACATGGAAGATGTATGAAAGAAATGGAGATTTAGAAGGAATAAGTAGCTAAGCACACCCATTGATGTGACTGTCAGAGGAAATCTGGCCAAGTTAAATGAAAACATCAATAAAAAAGGTCAAAGACCTACCATTCTATTGAGCCATGGTGATCCAAACGCCTTCCCTTGTCTTATAGCTGAACAAGTTGTGGTTGATGCTTTTCAGTTTGCTAATTTTAATTGCTACTTTCCATTTATTGGTATTCTTCCTGCTAATTGCTACTTTCCATTTATTGGTATTCTTCCTGCTAATTGCTGCTATGAGGTATTTTTCTCGAATGTTTCTATTATGAATTCTTGTCCTGTTGAGCAATTTTCTCATATTTACTGATGAATTATAGGGCTGTTGCCAAATATCTCTCACAAGACCTCCCATACCATTTACCTCATTATGATGTTTACATCACACTAGGCCGCTTTTAAACAATGGAAACCATATTGATAGTCCTTGCTAGTGCTGGTGCGAACATTCTGCTTCTTAAACTAGGTTTTCCAAACTATGAAGCTCGTTGTGCATTTAGCAATATTGAAGGTCGTCATTACGATATTCTCGATGAGAAAGGTTGGGAGGTGGGTCTTGATGTTGTTAAAGCTCTTATAGATGAGAATACTGTTGGCATAGTTATTATCAACCCTAGAAACCCTTGTAGGAATGTGTTCTCCTATGAACATTTGAAAAAGATATAACACTTTTAACCCCTTTCTCCTTTTCTTATTCATGATTAAATTTCTATTTCCTAGTTGGTAGTAGTGAATTAACAACATAATCACATCCTTTACAACTATAATGACACTCGCAATAGGATGACCAGTAAACTATATCAATTTTATGAATGTGAAGAGTTAAAGGAGTTCTTTATTATCAATTTAAAGAGAAAAGAAAGGAAAAATTATTGAAGTAGATTTCCAGAAACAGAGAATATTGAAAGGTATAAGGACGAACAATGATGGATGGCTAAGAACAATAGCCACACAAACTTTTCATTAATAACCAACGACTATATATACATTGATAGAGGAAAGAGAATAACAAAAAAACAAAAGCCAACCAACTACAAACATTTGGTATTACTAACATCAAGAAGGAATTTCACATTGATTTGTCCAACAATCTTCCGCTTACACTCCAAAAATGACATAGTATCAAATAAATACTATAGACTCTTCACAGTAGGAAATGAAGTAACACAATAAAGTAAAAACAATAAAAACATAAATGGAATAGTCTAAAAACGACACTAAAATAAAGTTTAAACGACAATTGCTAAGAATGCTCTGTTGACTGCTGAAAATTCTTCCTTCATATTGATATTAGTGCATCTTTACCTGCTGCTGAAACATTATAACTTGATATAGATCAAATATCACTAACATCCAACACATCTCCTTGGTGTTTAAGCTACACAACCCCTATTTCAAATCTTAGAAATGTAAATTGATCCTTACTTAGACTTTTAGTAAAGATATATGCTAACTGCAGTGTAGTGCGCTAATGCTGAATATCAACTTCTTCATCTTTCACAGCCTTTCAGATTGCATGAAACTTCACTTTAATGTGTTTTGTTTTGCCATACTGAACAGGATTTTTGCCAATTGAAATAACAGATTTGTTCTCAATGTATCTCTTAGTTATACCCTTCTCTTAGTTATACCCCAGATCATGGAAAACCTTTCTTAGCTAAAATACATGATTTGAAGCAACAGCAGCAGCAATATACTCTACTTTTGCAAAAGATTGACCCACCACTTCATGTTTTTTAGAATTCCAACTAAAAACTACATTGCCAAGTGAAAAACAATAACCAAAGGTGCTTTTAGAATCATCAAGACTTCCTACCAAATCACTATCACAATATCCCATAAGAACAGAACTTTTCTTTTTCTCAAACTTGAGACCAAGATTTGCAATTCCTTTAATGTATCTCAATACTATCTTGGCTGCTGCAAAGTGAGTTTGTGAAGGACTTTGCTTAAATCGAGACACTAAACTAACAGAGAACATGATATCCAGTCTTGAAATAGTTAAATAAAGTAGACTTCCAATGATGGTTCTGTAAGTTGATCTTACTGAACTTTGGGTACCATCATCCTTGGTTAATTTGCAATTTGAAGCTAAAGGAGTATCCATAGCTTTTCACTTCTCCATATATAACTTCTTCAGAATTTCATTTGGATATTGGCTTTGATGTATGCAGATATAATCTGAATTTTGAATGAATTGCAACCTCAAAAAATAATGCATCTTTCCCAAGTCAATCATTTCAAATTCTTTAATCAACTTGTTCTTAAAATCAATTAAGAAACTAACATCTAAACTAGTAAGCAATAAATCATCAACATACAGGGAGATGATTACCTTGATAGAATCTGTAGGACTGCACACATACAATGTACCCTCATTTGGACTCTTTTGAAAACCTTTAGCAATGAGAAATGAGTCAATTCTATCATACCAGGACCTTGAAGCTTGTTTTAATTCATACAATACTTTCATTAATTTGTAGACTTTATCCTCTGTCCTTGGTTTGATGAACCTTTCTGGTTGATGAATATAGATATCTTCAGTAAGATAGCCATTCAAAAAAGCTGATTTCACATCAAGAAGATAGTGTCATGCCTCGTGCCTTGAGCAAAAGTCTCCTGGTTGATGAATATAGGATTCTCTAAATACATCATCCTAGCAAAAATATCATCAAACACAGCAGATTGCAAACAAGATAGAGCTTTATACCTCTTAGCAATGTCCTCTTCATGTTGCTTCTTTTGAGAAATGGTTAGGTTAGCATGTCTTAACACTAGCTCAGCCCTAGCATGCATAGCTTCCTAAATGTTGAAAGCCTTCAGGTAGGACTTAATTTTGTCTTACCAAAAGACATGGCTCTCCCCTGAAAAGACCGATGAAGCTGATGTGCTGAACCCAGCTGTGGCCATGAAGAAACTATCATAATCGGATGAATAACAAACAAGGCAAGGTAGATTAACAAGTAATAGCACCAACAATCCTTTAAGATCCTTATATCAACTCTGATACCATATTGATTTAAAGAGAAAAGAAAAGAAAAATGATTAAAGCAGATTTCCAAAAATAGAGAATATTGAAAGGTATAAGGAAGAACAATGATGGATGGCTAAGGACAACAGCCAGACAAACTTTTCATTAATAACCAACGACTCTGTATACATTGTTAGAGGAAAGAGAATAACAAAAAAAAAGAGCCAACAACTACAGACACCTGGTATTACAAACATCAAAAAGGAATTTCACAGGGATTTGTGCAACAACCTTCTACTCATACTCCAAAAACGACATAGTATCAAATAAATACAATAGACTCTTCACACTAGGAAATGAAATAGCACAATAAAGTAAAAGCAATAAAAACATAAAGGGAATAGTCTAAAAACGACACTAAAATAAAGCTTAAATGACAGTTGCTAAGAATGCTCTGTTGACTACTGAAAATTCTTCCTTCATACTGATACTGGTGCATCCTTACCTGTTGCTAAAACATTATAAATTGATATAGATCAAATACCACTAACATCCAACATTTATTTAACATTGTTGATTTTAGGTAGCAAAAAAGGCAAGAAAGATAGGGATCTTGGTCATTACTAACGAAGTTTATGAACATCTCACTTTTGGAAGCAATCCATTTGTTCCTATGGGTGTAATTGGATCAATGGTTCCTGTTGTCACTCTCAATTTTATATCAAAGAAATGGGTTGTTCTTGGTTGGCGACTTGGTTAGCTAGTTACGAACAATCCTGATGGCATCTTTAAAAATTCTAAGGTTCTTTTCTTCTCTCTCTCACACACACACAGATATCTTCTTGTTAAGACCTTCGGTAAAGCTACTTGGCTCTATATTCCAAACTAAAAAAGTCGATTGACTAATTGTGGAGATTGAATGAATATTGATGAAATGCTAAAAAGATGGATTCTGCATATGCTATATCGTCATCGAAAAGAGAAAAGCTTATGTAACGCCTATGATTTATATAATTCAATCCAAATGGTAGATATCATCAACGGCCTCATAACATTTCCAAGTTTCATATATTAGTTCAAATGCAAAACTAACATAAGTGCAAAGCAAGTAAATGATTCTCTATACATATAAGTTATTTCTAGAAACATTTAACATTTTTAACATTAAAAGATAGCAAATGATGCCAAATTCTTTCGTAACAACACACATGGTGGGCGATGGGAGTAGGATTAGGTTTTGGTTAGACCTGTGTGTTGGAGAAGTTACGCTATGGGAACTCTTCCCAAGGATGTTTGCCCTTTCACGGAACGAAGAGAGGTTCATTAATGAACAAGAAATATGGAACGGAAATGTATGGACTTGGAATGTTGAGTTGAGAAGACAATCATTCGGATGGGAGCAAAACTAGTGGCAACAACTTAATCACACAATTGGTGAATTTCACTTGTGCAAAGAGCTGTCAGATTCGGACGCATGGAAAAGGTCTACTTTAGGTTCTTACACGATTAAATCCTTTTGCAAGCAAGTGCTTAAAAGAGAATCTTCTAAGGAAAATGTTTGGAGGAACATATGGACCAATCTTGTGCCACACCAGATTGAAGTGTTTTGTTGGCAGGCTCTCCACGAAAAGGTGGTTGTCAAGTATGAGCTTGCTAGAAGAAGCTTGATAAGTTGGGAGGCTATGACATGTGTACTGTGTAACAGGGATCAGATACAGTGCAACATCTTCTCATTCATTGCCAGGAAGTATGGAAAATGCGGCAGTGGTGGGGGAAGGAATGGGGAGTCGAATGAGTTGTCCCTGCTGATTTGATTAGTGCCTTCCACTCAAGAAATGGAATGGAAATTGGAAAGGGGAACAAATCTATCTGGAAAATGGTTTCTATGATGGAATATGGTCAATATGGCTTTATCGAAATGATATAGTGTTTAGAGGCATGGAATCGAAGGCTGATCAAGTTTTCGAGCTGGTCAAATTACGAGTTGTGACATGGGCAAAAACTAAATGGCCCCGAGGGTATGTCTAGGTTCTTGACACATATAGGTTTCCAGCCATGGATGCGGGTTTGAGGGAAAACAAGACAAGCAGAAAAGTCGAGGAATGGTGTACTCCACCATGTGGCGTTATGAAGTTCAATGTGCTGAAGCAAGGATGGGGGGTTATGAGGAACAAAGATGGATGCGTAAAAATTGTTTTTTCCAAATCAACAGGGGTGGATTGACTCAAGCGTGGCTGACATCAAAGCAATTGAAAGTAAATCCTAGGAGAATGTCAGCGATATGGAGATGTATTGTCAACCTCCCATCCATTGAAGGGGTACATAACCTTGTGGGATTTGATGCATGTCGTTGGATAGTGGGCAGTGGCTCAAACGTTCTTTTTTGGCATGATCGCTGGCTTTTTTTCAGCTCTCCTCTTAAATGTGTCTTCCCTAGACTTTTTTCTTTATGTGTCAACAAGGATGCCAAGATTTTTGACTTGTGGAGCCGAGGCTCATGGAATGTGCCATTTCGTTGAACCACTTTTTCTTGGGAACAAGATACATATTTTGAGCTTCTTGGAATGCTTGCACCTGTGACCCTCATTCCGAATAAAGAAGACAAACTTGTGTGGCATCATGACCCTAAAGGTATTTTCTCAGTCAAGTCTTTCAGCTCCATTCTTGATTTTTTTCCTAAGGAACAGCAGGTTTGGTTCTCATCTTTGTGGAAACTTTCTATTCCTCCAAAGGTCCAATGCTTTCTCTGGTTAGCTATTCTTGATTCTGTCCCAACAAAAACTTTCCTTAGTAAAAGAGAAGTTCACTTTGAAGAGGAACAGTGTAAGTGTGCCTGGTGCGGTGTCGAGGAGGAATCTTGTTCTCACGTTCTATTAAGTTGTTCTTTTAGTTGGTCTGTTTGGTGCCATATTCTCCAATCGTAGAATCTTTCATGGGCTGCCCCTTGTTCCTTAGCCTCACACATTCAAAGCTAGTCTCAATGCTATCACTGGAACTCAGTCTTGAAACGTTGGATGGTTGTTTGTGGGGCAACTTTATGGTCCCTTTGGTTGGCTAGGAATGATTCTGTTTTAACAGAAAAGTTTGGGACAGCAAGGAAATTTTCTTCCTTATTCGTATGAGATCTGCTTTCTGGTTACGAGCATGTGACGGTATGCAATCGGTGGATGAAATCGGATGGTGGACTGAACCATGGGAGGTAGGGGTTCATCGCACCCCTCTACACCGCCGCCTTGACATTCAATGGTGCCCACCGCCAGAAGGGACTTTGAAATTTAATGTTGACGGTTCTGCTAGAGGAAAACCGGGGCTGGCAGGATGTGGAGAGGTTTTTCGAAACTCAGAGGGATTTCTCGTTGGGGTGCTCTTTGGCCCTCTTGGAGTTCAGGACTCTAATTTTGCTGAGATCATGGCAATCAAGCATGCTCTCCACTTCTTTTCCATTTCCCCTTTTGCAACCACAAACAAGCTTCTCATTGAGTCCGATTCAAAAATCGCCCTTTCTTGGATTCTCCATCCTTGCAAGAGACCTTGGGATAAATGGATGCTTTTTAATGATATTGATTCTCTTATTTTGCAGCTCAAGGAAGTCTCTTTCCAACACATTCTTAGAGAAGGAAACTCTTTTGCTGATTCTCTTGCGAAATATGGAGTTGATAAAGAGTCTATGTTCTCTGCCTGGTGGTAGTTTGCCTTTATTTTCTTCTGTTGCTTTTATGGCCTATCCTTCTCCTCACATGAAGCTGGTTTGGACTTTCTGTTTTTTTTCTTGCTCCCTCACTGAACGTCATAGAGGTTCTAGGTTGAACTGTGTTTTGTGCTCAGGATTCTGATTGTTTGGAGTAGCTATCCTTTAATTTGTGTCTTTATGTCCGACTGTCAAGGTTTGTGCTGTCAGTTTGCATTTTGTTCATGATGTCAAGATGTCTTATGTTCTGTACTTATGGACAAATGCTGATCCTTCTTTGTCCTTTTGTTCTTCCTGGATTTTTCCAGGTTCTCCCTTCTGGGATGATTAATTGAATATTTTATCTGATTGAGCAAAAAAAAAATTGAAAGTAACTCACAAAACACAGTCAAATGGACTAATTATTCATCGGAAGCCTCTTGGAGACTTAGAAATTTTTTTGCACATTGAAAGACTGAAGAAGGAAATGAAGAGATAGGAGATTAAACACATTTTTAGAGTAAGTGACCAACTGGCTGACAGCCTCGGTAAAGTTGGTGTGCAAAGGCAAGGTGAGCTGTTTAAGGTCTTTGAGTAAACTTTTTGGTTATGATGCTATTGTTTTGCAGGGGGATGTTTTTCTGTTTTCAGATGTTGGTTGGGAAAGGCTGACTCTTCAGATCTTGTGATGTTGTAATGGTTTTTATGTGCTTTGAGCTTGAGTTTGTTGGATGATTTTTGTTGAGCTGCTGAATGTACAGGTGCATTGTGTTTGAGCATTGAACAGGTCATGTTTTTCTTTTTGTCAGGTCCATTTTTGTTTTTGGGATCAAAATTGTTTGTGTTGGTCCAGCGTTTTGAACAAGGATGCTGCCTGGTTTTTTTGGGGTTGTTGCCCCGGGTTTAAGATGCTAGGACGATTTTATGAATGTGCAGAGCGTGTTGTGATTATGATGTTCAGGGCCTGAGGTGTTTCTGCAGTTGGGGGTTGTATCAGTTGTATAGAGTTTAGGTTTTTCTCCTTTGGGGAGGATTTTATTATGATTTTCTGTAATCTAAGAATATCAAAGCAAAATCATCTTGTATTGACCAGAGGTGAATGTTTGTTCCCTCTGTTATGAATACAGTTGAACTTGCAAAAAAAAAAGAAAAGAAAACAACGCATGTAGACGGAACCCAACAACGATATTATTGCAAGAAGCAGAAAATGTTACTGTTTTCTGAAATGATACTGATCATTTGTGAAGACAAAGTCGCATAACTTCTTCAGCTTGGAATTTATATACATGAATAAGGATGATTTTTCAGAAAATTGCTGCCAAATTTCTTAGAACTGATACATTCAACTATTTTGCTTTTATATCATCAGATTGCTGAGCAGATAAAAGCCTGTCTCAACATAGGCTCGGATCCTGTAACCTTCATTCAGGTTGGACTGTTCCTTTTTGTTTTCCTGCATATCTTAGTGTGCTGATAATTCTTCAACTTTATCGCTCATATTTTTTCTTCAACTGATGTCAAAATTATAATGATGCAAGTGGTCTTTCTAGCAGGGGGCTCTTCCTCAAAACCTTGAGGAAACTAATAAAGATTTCTTCTCGAAATACATCAACATACTAAAACAAACTTCAGACATTATTTGTGATAGAATTAAGGAGATTCCATGGATTACTGGTCCTCAAGAACCCAAAGGATCAGTGTTTATAATGGTGAGAATGATCATAAAGCTGATGCAGTTTTCTCTTTCAAAGTAAAACAAGTCAAATATAAACTTAGCGTGTTCATTGCAGGTTAAACTGGACTTGTCACTACTAGAAGGAATTGATGATGATATGGACTTTTGTGTTAAGCTGGCTAAGGAGGAATCTGTCATTATCCTGCCAGGTGAGAAATGTAGTCCTTTATTATGTACTTGACAGAAAATAGCTGCAGCAGACTGAAGAAACAATTTATAACCATTCTGCAAGAAAAGTGCAGAATCTATAGCATGACACATATTATTAGCTATCCAAACAAATAAACAATTCTTTTAAGTTCATAATGTTAGGAAGATAGAATAGACTTT